CAACCCAGTGATTCTATGATTGTATCAAGTGTCTTCCCTATGGAAAAAAGTGGGCACAACTCACAAATTCCAAATGCCACCTGCATTTTTAGAATCTACTTAGTGTTGTTCTCACTTGAGATTCAGTAGGTATATGAAGTGATTGATTACACATTCATAATCGCTGACTGCTTTGCTTACAAAGTTGTTTTTCATGTATGTTGTTGAATTTAGAATAAAAAGTAGAGTGACCTTGCATAGAGCGTGGTATCAAAGTTACTGTTTTTCTCACTGTTGCTTCATTATGCATGTTGCAAAAATACTAATATCAACACCTTCTTACTGGCACAGCTGTGAATGATCTACCACTCATTCTCACCTTGGCTTTTTTTCTGTAAGTAAAGCAGCATTCTTCGGTGTTTCACCTCTTCAGCTTCTTTCCATAACTTGCAAAACTTCATTACATACATAATTTTTCAAATATTTTTCAAGAAATTGCCTGTCATGGGATGTATTATTAAAATAATGCTGACCTCCTCTTAGCCAAAAAAGGAAAACAAAATTGTTTTTCATATACAACTGACTTTTGTATGGATTAGAACAAAAACAATTTTAAAAGTTATGTGATTATAATGCAAAGGATAATAGAAGTTAGAAATATTCTTCATGACAAGTTCAGTAAGAAGTCTTTTGCTCTTTTATGAAATGGAAGAATATAAACATAGATATTATTTGAAATACTGTAACTGTATTCTGCAAAGCTAAAATACTTGCTTTCATGGAGAACGCTCTTACCATTTATGTTCAGAGTCAAACTAGGAGCAGAATTACAGACACACTTAGCGGGAGAATCCTTCCAGTCCTTCCAATCCTTCTACTTTCTAGTTTAAACTCGAGCCTCTTTCGGTGACACCATCAGGTTTTGTTCTCTTGCTTTCTGGTAGTCTGGATGAGTTCCTGCAAGGATTTTGTGAGACGCCAGATTGCACAGGTGACAGATTGCATGTTCTGTCATCGCTTCCGTACTAGCAGCGGAGAACTTCTCATCCTGTTACTAAATGTGGTCAGATTGGCATTAAGCATAATGTTGTAATTGACCTGCAAGCACGGGATAGTGTATTTCTAATTATTCCGTTTTTAAAATTGGATTTTGAAAGAAAAAATTGCTTGATTTTCATGAGTGCCTTGGTTCAATAAAATCTAATAGATTTAGCCAAGGAACGCTGCAAAGGAGATGGTGTTATGTATTTGGCCTGATGCAGTGAGTAGCAGTCTTACTTAAAAAAAACCATTAGTGTTATGTAATGAATCATTTACCAAACTAAATGTGCATTCTTTAGCTGAAGACCTCATTTAATTAGAGAATTATTTTTGCCAGTTTACATCCCTAGTCAATTTAAGGTTGAGGTTTTTTTAGTGATGAGCAATACGGATATCCTTAAGCCTTAGCCACATTCTAAATGCACACGCTGCATTGTGCCTGTGGTTAGCCTCAGGGACAGAGAATGCCCTCCACGGGGACTCGGTCCGATCTTTTCCAGATCACTCTTCTTGCTCTTAACCAGCCCTGCAGGTCTGTGCGTTGACGTGAAGCCCCACTTCACCTACACGTCCCCACGCTGCCCTTCACAAGTAAACAGGAGAAAAATGAGTTGAGGATTCTCTTTTCTGTTAAGACCCAGCTGTTCTGTTGAGGTGAAGAGATGTGTCCTTCCCCTTTACCTCCCTGACTAAAGTCAGATGTCATCACTATTCCATAGGTATGAAAATACTGGAGACTCAAGAATGGGATATGCCTTGATGTGAGCAGTTGGCCAATATTTGGGGAAAAGAGCTATGTGAGTGAAATAATACCATACTTAGAAGGCATAGTCTTATACCTATATATTCCTCTACAGGAACTCATGCCACCAAAGAACACATTTCCTTGCAAACATTTTCTAAGCCAGTCTGTCAGTCCAGATTTCTGCTTCATGGAGAAATATTTTCAGCTGCTATTTTCATAAGAAAATAATGCTGCTTCTCTTTAGCCTGCGTATTAAAAACTGCAGGGAATGCTGGCTACCCTTCAGAGACCCTAACTGCCACGGGTTACTGGTGGCCATTACATTCCTTTCATCTTGGTAAGACTCAAAGCCATGAATTTGCTTAGTGTGTCACTGATTTTAAGACGAAAAGGATGCAATTAATTTCTATTTTGGTTTTAACTACATTATGTACTATAAAGTGTGTGTCTCTCACAGTTAACTTTATTTTTGTTCTCCATCCAAGCTGGATAACGGAGACGAGCAAGCAGCCCAGATCAGACGTGAACTAGATGGACGACTACAACTGGCAGAACAAATGGCAAGGGTAAGTGGGTGCTTTCATGTACTAAAAACCTATTGTCATATGAGATTGAATGAGACAACACGTAGCGTGTGTTTCCAGTTTCTGATTCTAAAATTAATCAGATGATCATTTCTGAGGAAGGTCTGTCCAAAACCAGTTGAACAGATACATTTGTTTCTGCCCTGGAGTATTTGTGTCAACAGGGGAGACAGCAAAACTTGGTTTTTGAAAGTCATGTGCTGTGTGATTCTACAATTCCTTCATCAACAAGTGCAGTGGTGAAGCAAAAGATATCTTTTTTGCATATTTGGAACTGAATGTATTTTGGAACTAAAATAAGTCATCTTTTATATACATAAATACACATTTATATGTAAGTGCATTATGCTGTGCTTAGGCTATAACCATAATGTTTGTCTTACTACAGGTTATACGTGATATACTTTTTAAGTGTATATAATATAGTTTACATTTACAGATTAAGTTCACAATGGTTATATTAGGATTGCAAGTAACAAACTATGAGTGAGTCTTGTAGGTCAAATTAGTGATTATTAGATATTATAAATTCTTTTTTAAAATTTTAGAAAGCCAAGCCTATTTTTCTCTTCCAAAGCTTGCGTTTTATTTCAGTGGGCAGGAGTATGCCCTTCTATATTAAATATCACAGGTGGGATTGGTATTGTCCCTGACCGTATCTTATTAAATTCTGGGGAAAGACTCCTTTTTCACAGAAAGGCAATCTCAAGTCTCTTCAGTCATCTGTCAAGCCTGGGCTTATAATCAAAGTTGTTCAATAATCCTAAATTAGCTCTGTTCCCTTCTTGCCTTTAGCTCTGAAAGTTACAAAATACTAGAGGCATTTGTCTTATACTCTGTGCATGCAGAAAAATAGTATTTTATATTAATATGTTATTAATTGTAAAGCAGTTAAGATTTGCTTTTTTTCTTTGAAAGGAAAAACTTACCATTTCAGTCTGTGAAGTTCATAAGAAGCAAGTTGGAGGTATAATCTTCCTAAAAAGCAAAATGCTGTCCATAAAAGTTTGAAAATCATTTGAAAGCAAGTAAAAATTACCAGCACTTTTGAGACCTTGTAAATCTTGTTCATTCTGTCTCTAACGTTCATACACTGCGCAGCTGTAGATTTTTTTTTTTAAAGAAGAATTTATTCATCCAGTTTTCACCCGAGCCATTAACTGAAAATTCTTATGGTTGCCACAGTGTCAGCTCCACAGTTCTGCACAAAATAAGGAACTCCTTGTCCTGTATGGTACATCCAAGTCACAAATCAAAGTTTTCATACATCTCAAACTACTTAAAATACAGATTTTTTTTTTTTTTTTTTGTGGTGGACTTTGAAAGCTAGTCCTAATTCTGTGAGCTGTGAGAATTATTGTCATTTAAGCCCAAGCAATCAAATGCTGCAAAATATGAACTTTATTCTGAGAGCTCAAAACCAAGGAACAAAGCTTTTTGATACTGAATTATGTATTCTAGCATCTGTGTTGGTAGAGAAAAGGGTTTTCAATGGTTATCTGCCTGTAAGAAAATTATTAAATAAAAATCAGCAGAGCTAAATAGAAATCTCTGCATGTAGTATTTTTTGTTGTTGTTGAGGTCTCATTCATGGTTCTTATATTACTTGTTGTTGCAAGTTGTTAATTATATATGAGAAGTTTATTTTAGTAGAAAAGATAATTTGGCCTTTTTAATGGAGGCAAGAACCTTAGAATTATGTTCATCTGTGACAGAATAAAATCAGTGGGGAATTTTTGCATCTATTTGCCCATCTGTTTCTTCATATAACTCAAGTAGTTGAAATCACTGTATGAGCTAATGGGATTTTCTACCCATTGTAACTGGTGCTAGGCTTTTCTAAGGTAAGCTTTTATGTGATCCTATGAAGAGACTACCCAGTGTGTTTTCTTTTTGTGAAATGCGTTCTGAAAATCCATTTTAGCACTCGGAATCCAGACCTAAAGGCTAGTGTGCACCTCAGCCTGATCAGTGTCTCGCATCCATCTCTAGGGTCTTTGTTTCAGGATATATCCCAGTATGTTGCAATGAGAGTTCCCCAAATTCCAGTGTTGTGCTGGGGTATGTGTTCTTCTGACGATGTGGGCTTTTCGAATCAATGTAATTACGTTCCTGTGGACATGCACTAAAATATAGTGGGGAAAAGGAACACTATTGTTGTTGTGTCAGCCTCTTAAAAATCAAATAAAGAGAGGAAGGGAGAGAATGAAATTTGTAGACCTCAGAGTCCTTATGGAGGATTCTTACCCTTGTCTCATGAGGGACAGAAGTGGCTACAAATCTTTAGGTTTCACAGAAATAAAGGCCTCCATATATTCTTACAGTGGTCTCTTAAATCTCAGAAGATTATGGTCTTAAAAATATGCAGCAAAAGACATTGTAAAAAGTTTCCCCAACTTTTATATTGGGGCGGAAAAAGCATTTTAACAAGAGGAAGGTTCTTTAAACAAAACAACTGCCGTCTTTGTCTTTCATGTTGGCCTACTGCTAACTGAATGATCCTCGCAGGGTAAGGTACAGTTTGAAAAACACTTTGAAGTGTTGGGGGGGGTATTTATGGCTACAGCACCCTGAGCCTTACGCTGTGGTTTTAGTTTATAAGTAGCTTGTTTTTCTTTGTTCCTTTTCAATCTGTAATACACTGGCTCTGTAATGCGGTAATGAGCCAGAGCCCTGGACTTGCTGCAGGTGTTCTAGGTCGCAGATGGCTTGGTCTTTGCCATTAAAACAAAATCAACTGTAAATGTTTTAATGTAAAACATATTTCAAAGCTCTGCCTAACAGCTAACAATAAAAAGTGTCTGGTTTAGGAGCAAAGTGCCTGCCTTTGCAGATGATAAGTGGGGAGTATTGTTTTTTCTCATTTATACGTAAAACATATTTTAGAATAAGGTAACACTGGAGGTATATTGTCAGTTGGTACACTTAAATCACACGTAAAACGTTTCTTACATGTACGTATTCAACCTGGGTTTAAGGTTAAATGGTTCTGGGGGGAGAGAGGCTCCATTTTTACAAATCCCCTTTATTTTTTTGATGTGTTCAGAGATATTTTGTTCACTGTATTTGTGTAATATGATGAATTCTTTATTCAACTTACATTTCTTCTTGTAAAAATTAACTGTATTTATTTTAGTATAGGATGAAATCAGCCTGCCATTACTGTTTTGAAGGTATAAAAATAGGTAGACATAGGAGTTAACACTTATTTAAAATATTTCTAACTGAGACCAAATTAGTAAATTAACATGACATCTAATGTGGGATGACTTCTTTTTTTCCTCCTTAACTTTTAAAATCTATCTTCCAAGGAAAGAAAATTCCCAAAATTCGTAACAAGGGAAATGGAGAACATGTACATAGAAGAGTTGCGGTCTTCAGTGAATTTGTTGATGGCAAATTTGGAAAGTCTTCCAGTGTCTAAAGGTGGGCCAGAATTTAAGCTGCAGAAGTTAAAGCGATCACAGAATTCTGCGTTCTTGGATATAGGAGATGAAAATGAGGTTCAGCTGTCGAAGTCTGATGTGGTACTCTCCTTCACATTAGAGGTAATCACATATTTCACACCACATTTGTTGAGAGTTTAAATTACTAAAGTATGTATTTTTTGATGTTTTTTTGTTATTAGTCCTTCCTTAGTAATTTTAAAATTTTATGATAAGGAAGTAAATTCTGCACTGTCTCTGATAATTAGCAGTTAGAACACAACTATATGATGTGTTTTCCCCTTGCAGCAGTAGTTGCATTTGGGTCCACACAGCAATGTGGGCAGTTGAATTCCCACACAAATGTAACTTTAAATGAATTCCAGTACATTAAATGCTTAGGCATTCTTTTGAGCGTAATAATGAAACACCTTTATTATCAGGAACTGATTAATAGAACATCACAAACAAGTTGTGTTTTCTCACTTCAAGCATTTAGAGAATAAAGAAAAAAATATTTTTTACTAGTGGCCATAGCAGATTTTTTATAAATTTTTGCATTTTTCCTCAAGAGACTAGTTCATGTTTATTTGAGAGTATGCAGGAAGCCTGGCCTGTAGGGAGTCCTGTAGAGTATATATAATCCTATAGAGTATATATAATCCTAATCCATACAGAACGCAACTGACTTCAGAAAGAAACCACAAATGCAGCTGGTTACTTAAACATGTCTGATGACAGCATCATGGTTCAAGACCAATTCTGCAAATGTGCATGTCAGGAAATGCTGATATCTCTCTTGATAATAACAGAATCAAAATATTTCCAGAGTGTGTTTTGTATATTTGTCAGTCAGAAGATTCCACACTTTGTTACGCACTGGAAATGACTTTAGTTTATTTAAGACGATGGATAATGTTACAGAATTAATATTAGTTGTTAAAAGGTTTAAAACAAACAAACAAAAACGTTTATCTTCTAAACAATGTTTCTTCATAAGAGAAGCAAGCATCTGCTTCTTTCATGTAATGCTGAAAATTCAGATCAATTTTTGTTATGTCATCAACACACACAGAATAACAAAAGTGTCAAAAAAGGACAGATGAAAAGTTTAAATCTTTTATATAACAGAAAAATGCCTTATCCCACTGTATGCAATTTTAATATTACTAGCTAGTAATGTAAAAATCCAACGTCAACTTTTAAAGAGTAGTAAGATCCATCATTCTCTATGCCAGAAAGTATTAGTTCATCAAGCATGTAAAACTGGAGTGCAGACCTTAGTACTGAAGTATGTGGAATGATAAAACGGTTTGATAACTCCTGTGCTGAATCCTGTGCATCTCCATCACATGCGCTCTGTCTGCCTCGGCTGGAATGCAGTGCCTGCAATGGTGCCATAAATACCAATAACAAACAGTAGTTCTGAAGCACCTAAAAAGTGTCTGAAAAAGTTTGTTGATAATGTTTTCCATCTTCAAGAAAGTTTGCTTGGTGAGGGGTGCAAGAAGAAGAAAAGCTTTCTCTGTGCCTCTAGAGAGAAATACTAAGTATGTACTAAAAGTGATGTGATATCTGGGAGGAAAGCACAGTAAAAGATTGAGACAATCACAAAAAGGAAAATGCCAGTAGATATCATGTCTAGTAAATTCGGAGCAGTTTTGCTTTGTTTACAACCCTTCCCCTCTCACATCAGAAACACAGACTATTGGGTCTGGTGAACTTAGCTTTCTTTTTCTGCCATCACTGATAAAACACACAGATGTTCTGCAGGGCTGGTAATCTGCAGGGCAAGACAAAGAATGAAAGGGTAACTCTACATGTAGCAGTTTTTAGTAGGTTGTATTTTCATTTTAAAAGTATGTTAGCCACATAGTTGAGTTTCTTGCTGGACAAGTATGTGCGTATCTTATTCTTGAGAAGGAAATCTCAGAGGGTATAAGGGCAAAAGGAAACAGATGAACTGATACTCATTTGAACTGAAAGATGGAAGAGCTGCTCTTTTTCTATGCAAAAAGGCAAATAAGAAAATCTGATCACATTTTCTTGGAGACGGAATACATTATTTTTGGAAAATGTGAGGTCGTATGTGCACAATTTCATATCTCTTGAATAACACATGTACATACCCATGTCATGTCTTCTGTGATGTGACTGAACTAAATTGCAGGGTAACCAGCAAAATCCCCGCTGAGGGCTGCTGCACAGGCACATCAATGAACAGAAAATCTATAACATATCTCAACATTAGAACAGAATAAAAAAACTCAATGAAAATTTCTTGGTGGCTAGAAAGGGGCTGGTTTGTGCTGCCACTGCACGTAGTAACTGAGACAGAACAGCAAAAGATGTTGGTAACACCTACAATATTCTGATGGGAATGGACCTTGCTGTCTAAGATAAGAGACATGCGCACCAGTGCCTTGCTGCAACTGTTTTGCAAGTTGGTTGTTTCCTCAAATAGCCTGTTTGCAGAAATTTGTAAAATAAATAAATATAAAAATCAAAGTAGAAGAAGACTTAATGACATGTTCTTCAGCTGTTGGACACTTTCAGTAATAGACCAGCAATATTTAGGAAGCTGTTTATCAGCTAATGAGCTAGTAAATCACCTAGTGACAGTTTCCTTCCTAATTAAATGCAACTTTTTTCCATTGCTGGAATCCAGAATTGCTAGCGAGGACAAATGTACAGTGCAATTAAATTGGAAACTCAAGGAAAAGAAGTATTAGCATAACAATGAATAAACATGAAGTCTGCATTCAGCAAGGTCATAGGTTTGGCATGTGGAAAGACCATCTAGGCAACATGAGCAGAAGGTTCTATAGTGCAATCTCTCAGTGATCATTCATCACTTCGATAACTGCTTGAATTCCTGGAGCATAAAAGATGGAAAAGCGAGATGATTACATCATTCTCCCTGAATTGCTGTTATTATTTATAAGATGTAATAGGCAGCGTTGAAAATATATGATTAATGTAAAAATATTCTAAGTGATGAATGACTGTCATCTCACTGTACTGTTGCCAAACTAGCAATTTTACAAGATATCTAATTACTACTGAGGTCATGGAAGTTTTCAAGTACAAAGAATTTTACAGCTAAGGGTGAAGTCTTCCTTAATATTTTTTAATTGAAACAATTGAATAGCAGAATATTTTAGGAGTTGCTTGGTGACCTAAGAAACCAATTGCCTCTAATGAGACCAAAAGTACTCTTTACTTTTGTCTGGTACCAAACAAATACTCGTTTTCGTGTATGGTTCAGTTGAGGACAACTTCGCTGCTGATCAAATGGACTGTGTTTTTTCCAGCTTCTTCTCATAGGTCCAAATGGGGCCAGAAAGGAAAGCAGCTTTTTCCAAAGCAAGCGGGGAAAACTGACTTTCTTCTCAAATCTCCTCTGAATTAGAAACATCTGATGTGTAAAAAATCCAATAATTTCACACAGTGACAAACCGTAAGGTTTATAAAAGGCGGAGACCAGTTGGAGTAAGACTGCATTTGGCTCTTCTGAGCTATAACTGACTAGTTTAGAGGAGCTGGAAAAACTATGGGATCTGCCAATCTCAGAATTTCCCTGGTGAGGAAATCTATCAGGGCACAGCTGGTAGAGGGGGCTTTTTTCATTTCTTTTTCCCCACATCCCCATATGCACACCGAACCTCACTGCATGTTCTGAGCTGGGAGAAGGAAACAAGGTAGGTAGCGGGGGGAGGGCGGCGGGGAATTGCAGCTGCTGATTGGGATGCTCTGACCTGCCTCACGTTCAGCACAACAGCAAATCGCTTCTGAGATTCAAGGGTTGAGACCCCCAGTGTCCCTGCACTGCAATTAACCTTTCTAGATGTGATCAGTGTATGTACTTGTCCCATCTACAGCCTGACTTAGTAACCTCTTCATTCTGTGCATGCTTATTTTGGTGACTGCTTGAAAGATAGGGTTCCTCATGTATTAGCATTTAGAATTATGTTTAGACATTAGTCTTAAATTTAACTGTTAGTGTTTAAAGTATGGTTAGAGTGAAATTTTGGTTGTTGTCCAAGTAGAAACAGAGCAAAAACTTCACTTCCTACTATATGTTGCTGAAAGTGGAAAAAGAGGGCAAAATTAAAAGTCTTCTCTGTCTGTGAAGATTTGAGTGAGTGTGGTTTGGGGATGTTTTCTTTTTTTTTTTTTTTTACCTGCGTGGAGCTTAGTACTGCAATAGCTGTGCTGTGTAATGTTTTCTGAAGGATAATTTGCTTGCTTTTCCTCAGATTGTTATCATGGAGGTGCAAGGTTTAAAGTCAGTCGCTCCCAATCGAATTGTCTACTGCACCATGGAAGTGGAGGGGGGCGAGAAGCTTCAGACGGACCAAGCAGAAGCTTCCAGGCCACAGTAAGCTGCTCTGCTGTCACTGCATCCGGCATTTCTTTCCTTCATGTCACTGGGGAACCTAACTGAGTATCTTTACAGTTTTTATGATTAACTTAGTGCTAGCTTATATGAAGTTTTATTTCCTGGGAAATAATCTTAAATTCTTTCTGAAAAATGAAAATACAAACAATAGTTATTTATGGTGAAGTAAGTACAAAGTGTGAATGCTGTCCAAGTAAATGCTATTGAACATATGTGTGAGGAAAAGAGCTAGAGACTGTAGCATCATGTTCTTACCTGCAACCTCTGCAAAAGCGAACCTCTCGATAGATATTAGCCCGAGGTGATTTTATGTATTCTAGGTTAATGTGCAAGTGGCCTTGTAGAGTGTAACTTGTACAACGGGTTGAAAATCAATACTCAGTAATCAATCTTGGCAAAGCTTACTCACCTGCTGAGCCCATTTCATTTTAAATTATAGGATCCACTTCTTTCAATTAATTTTTGAGGAAAGCAGTCGGCAAACTGACTTGGAGGGGGATAACATCGTGCCATCTGTAGCTGAACCAGTCAGAATAGCAGAGAGGAAGAAAATTAAGTGTGTTTTTTTGGTTGATTTGTTTGACCTACACACTGACTTCAGACACTTTTCTCTCTGTTAAAATGTCGTTTGGAATCTTTTGTAGATAACTTTCCAGACAGCATGTTGGAATTTTACTGGCACCATAGTGTGTCTTCTGAAAGACAATTTAAAAATTGCAGTTGTTACAGTATCTGAGAAAATATCTTCAACGGAGTTGGGATGGTAGTTTCTGTTCCATTCAGACCACAAATATGGATTTCTCTTAGGCAAAATCATAAGCAGAGAGTTTTATCTGCCTCTTCTGGGGTTGAGAGAAGGAGATCTAATTTGGTGGACTTTATCCTAGTTGCAACGAATTTTCTTGACAAGTAAGCCAGCAGCCTACTCCGGACATCTTTGCAGAAGTTAAAATTCACTCGTCGCAGTCTCTGGCTGTGTTCCTTCTCCAGGACATAGGAATGCTCAGTCTTACCGCTTACACATAGAACATGAGGAACTTCTAAAAGCAACATAGCATAAAAGACACGTGGATGTATGCATTGGAGCAGGGTCATAAGCAGGTATGCAATCTTCCCAGCTCATTTATGGACCTGTTGGGATGTTTTCTAGTGGCTCAGGGTCCCATGAGAGTCACAAGTCTTTCCCATGGAGAATACACCTCCAAGCGGTGCTTTCTTTTCAACCTCAGAGTTGCTCCCATACTGTTCCCTGCAATGAGTGCCTCCAACCTTGGCCTGCTGTCACGGTCAAGGTGCCCATTTCTTCTGATGATGTGTGTGTCTTTTTTTCTTCACCCTTGAACTTGCTAGCTTCTGTTTTAAATCCTCAATTAACCCCTGATGTCATTTTTATGGTTCTTCAGATCTCCCTAAATCATCTAGAATATATAAATTCTTGAATCTTGGGCACAGTCATTCTTCTTCCAGAAAACAGTTAGTGGATGTTAAAGGTTTTGTTTCCGGATCTGTTGGACAAAACATGGTAGGGATGGTTCATGGTCAGTTCATGATTTACTTGTTACATACTGAGGGCTGCAGGTTGAGGTAAAGGTTTTAAAACCGATGAGAAGGTATACATTATGTATAGGTACATCTGGTAAAAGTTAATAACAGATTAGTTGGTTTTCCTACCTCTCAAGTAGAAACTTTGTGAAAAGGGAGTTGCAAAATAGATGGAGTCAGCAGGAGAACAACTGGAGTGTTTCTAGGAAAAGGGCTGATGTTGGGAACCTGCTTTAAGCTTGTAAACTGATTTAGTGGATTTTAGGCTCAGTAGGTATGAGTTGATTGAATATAGGAGAAAGACAGGTTATATGCTTATAGGTTATAGTGTTATAGGCCATGTAAATTACGTTGTATGAACCAAATTCATATGAAATTTTATGGATAAAATTATGCATCTTTAGGAAGTGGATGATTGAGATGCCCTGAACTGTTCACTGGAACGACAGAAATTACTGGTGCTGTTGACCTGCTGTCCTGCAAAACAGCATAACTGGAAGAGGCACAGCTGATAGAGCTCTAAAGCCTGTCTAGTTCTTATGCTCTTCTGAGTTGTAGTGTTTTCCATTTCTGGCAAGAGCAATTATGAGATATTGGCACACAGTATGATTATGAGCATATAGAGACATGCAGTTTGTGAGCATATATAGAGATGTAGTTCAAGGCAATGAAGGAGGATATTAAATTAGACAGGCATGAAATTAGCAAATTATGGCCAAACACTAAAGAAGATGGAGGAAGCTGCCTATGGAATGGGAGATCCTCTATTCCACAGTTTAATGTTTCTGTTAGAGCCAAGCCAGGCTTTCTTGACTGACACTAGCAGTATTGCTTTTATTGATTGACAACAGAGGAAGCTAAAAGGGCTTGGCAGAGTTTAAGCAGAGAATTGTACTAGTGGAAGAGAGCCTAGGAAATACTCTTCTAGGCAGGAAGAACTCCCCAGGTTTTAGAAGCCTGAAGGTGTGACTCCTCTCTCTCCTATCCCAGCCTGTGTCCAGTCCTTCTAAGATCTTTCTTACCTTTATGACCAACACATCCTTTGTCCCATACTGTCACCTGCCTCCTCTTGCACCCTGCTTCTACCAGCACTCATCGCTGTTCTCTGATAGGGACCTGCCTGGGCGATGGGGAGGATCATTCACTGGGCGAAGGGTTGGATGTTCTCCTGCGAAGGGGAGATGTAAGAAGAGGTGGAAAACAAAGTGACTTTCTGCTCGTTGTGATGTTGGTAAGGGTACTGCTACTGAAGAGAGATGCCTCCTTTCCTCCTCAGTCCTTTGGCAGCAGTGGGCAGTTACGTAAGTCGAGGCCAGTGACCAGCTGGACAGGCACAGTCAGTCCATCTCTTTTCTGATACAGAAAAAACAAGCTGTCGGCTGCCCTAGGGCTACTGCCTACTTTGCCTGCTGCTGGAGCTGGCTCCTTACTGGGATAATTTTTGCTACTGTCATTCTGATAGGAAGGAAAAGAATCAGTGAGGTTGGAGGAGAAAACACAAAACTCACTGCAAAAAAAATAAAACAACCCAGAGAATCAAGAACTGTAGTTCAGCTCGACTCTTCAAATCATTAGCAGTAACATATTTGCACTGACAAATCCCAGATAAATGAGAACATAACTTCAGATTTTATATATGACGTGCAGCTAGAAAAGGGTAGCAAAGCACTCATACTAAGCATAGAATGAAAGTGATGAAAAGTGAATGATTACCGCCAGCCTGCTGTGGGAGACTGCTGGCAAGAGCTCCAAATCATGTGCTTGTCACACACATTTTCTGTAGTTGGTTTATAGTTTTGAACTGGTAGGTGCATTTGTGAAGAGAAGCAGTATAGGGAATTATTTATGCCTATTTTTTTCATCTGTGAAACATCAGTGTATGCAGTGCAATGCTGCTGCTCAGTCAGAAGTTTCAAAAGCCTTGACAGTGTAAAGGAGAAAACGATACTCAGATGAATGCTTCAAAACGGAGTGCAAGGCAGTGAGGCCCTAGAGTGGAGAAGCATGAGTCAAGTGGAGACTTAATTCAGGATTTATCTACCTTTCCAAAATGCTGTGTATTTTCTCAGTTACTTTTATAAATATGTATTTAAGTATTCCTCTGAATCCCTGAATCATACCTTAAGAGTAATAAGGAAATTATAAGGCTCCGGGGAGACCTTATAGCAGCCTTCCAGTACCTGGAGGGGCCTACAAGGAGGCTGGGAGGGGAGTTTTTACAAGGGCCTGTAGTGACAGGACAAGGGGTAACACGTTTAAATTGAAAGTGGGGAGGTTTAGATTAGATATCAGGAAGAAATTCTTCACAAAGAGGGTGGTGAGGCACTGGAACAGGTTGCCCAGAGAAGCTGTGCATGCCCCATCCCTGGAAGTGTTCAAGGCCAGGCTGGATGAGGCTTTGAGCAACCTGGTCTGGGGGAAGGTGTCCCTGCCCATGGCAGGGGGGGTGGGACTAGATGATCTTTAAGGTCCCTTCCCACCCAAACCATTCTATGATTCTATGATTAGGAAGAGTGTTCTTTTTTAAAGGGAAGGACCTAAGTAGAGTTCCAGAGAGGAGAGCACAGTTTTATCCCAACAGGTTATCAGTAAGAAGTATTTCCTGGTTTCTTATTACTTTTAACCTCTCTGTGCTTTCTCTGTCTGAATAATAATTTGTGAGTTTATATTGAAGTGCTTCATTTACTTCTTTAAGAAACTAAGTGAAGCACTGTTCGTATGTATGTTAGAGAGTATGTTATTGTCATTCTAAAATGCAGATGCTGTAAAACAATGGAGTTTGACTGACCTTCTCTTGGACAGTTTTACAAACAGATCAGTTGTACAGATTCACATGTAAACCATATAAAATTTTTATTACTGGCTGTAAAATATTTCCTCATTCCTTCCAACTGTTTCCTGCCTTTTAGCCCTGCTGAAAATCCCTCCAACATAGCCCGTGACCTTTTCTGCCAGAGATCAGTGAGCAGAGCCTTCAGAGGACCCCTTCAGTTGTACTAAGCTTTGCATAACTTTGTTGCTGTGCCACCACAGGGAGTCATCTTGCAAAATCCAGGGCTAATTTCACTTTCCAAATGCTACTGATGTGGCTTAGTTTTTGGTCTTGCGAAGTCTGGTGTCCACATGTTTTCTTATCATTGATTTTTAGTCATTATGAATATTAAATAATGTGGTTTCGTGAAAGTGTCATCTTTTGGATAGGTATACTCATGCCTAAAGATAAAAGACACAAATATGCTATCTTTTATAACTATGATTGATACTCCCTTGTCACGTATTTATGAAAAAAGATCATGTCTTGCATGATGAGAAAATTTTAATGGGCCCAGGATATTCTTCATGTATACAAGACAAATGAGATTATCATATTTTGCTGCCAGTGACTGCATAACCTTATTAAAATGGCTATTATATATTAGAAGTATTTGAAGAATGCA